ATAATAATAGTAATAATAAAAATGGGTAATAATAGTAATAATAATAGTAATAATAAAAATGGGTAATAATAGTAATAATAATAGTAATAATAAAAATGGGTAATAATAGTAATATAATAATAATAATAATAATAAAAATAATATTATAATTACGTCACGAGTAATAAAGAATTTTTTTATACATTACAATATCATACAATCCATTTATAAATTTTGAACAGATATTCAATAAAGCAATATTTCTTTTTTCACATTCATCTCTCTACATTAAATTATTTTTCATCCAAGCAGCAACTATGGCTTCCTGTATTTTTTAATTATTTATTTTATTTTCTAAATTTTTTTTTAAAAAAAAAAATAAAAATAAATAAAAAAAATAAAATAAAACAATATATAAAAATAAAATAAACAAAAATAAAAATAAAATAAAAAAAATAAAAATAAAATAAAAAAAACAAAAATAAAATAAAAAAAATAAAAATAAAATAAAAACGAGATTATCATTTTTTATGCAGTACTTTCTTTAAAATGTTGGTGGCGAATTATTATGTATTTTTATTGTTTTATTCATAGTTTTAAATGAAAAGATATATGTTTAGGCGTATAATGTCTTAGCATTAATTAACGTTTTTGATTAATTTTTAACTTTATTTCGTCTCATTCCTTCTCTACCTTTTCCACCTAAAAATAAAATATTAAAATATAAATATTAATAGGAACTTCCAGAACATTATTCAATAAATTAATCAAGGAATTTCTCTATTATCTCCATCTCTTTCATCTCTTCATGTCCTTCATCTCTGTCATCTCCTCTTTTTTACGAAAAAATTGTTTAATGCTTTCCATTTAAAAAGTTGTAGGGATTGTATACGAAGAATTATATTTTCTCATCATTTTCTTTTCTCTTTTTCACTATAATTGCAATTATTATTATAATGTAAGTACTATAACACGTTTGCCAGAAATTTTCTTGTTTTCATACTCGAGTAATTTGAGCGTTTACTTATTAATTTCTAAACAAAATTAATTAATTTTTAACGGTTATTACCAAATAAAGAGGATTTTTTCATTTCATCACCATCAACACATACGTTTATTGAAGAAATATTATTCAACAATCGAACGTAATTTAAAGATAAAATTGATACCACATTGATACGTTTAAAGTAGAGACGAACATAAATTTTCAAAAGGATGTATGTATGTTGATCATGTGTCATTTAATTTAATTAGTTCGTGTAATATAAAATGGTAAAAATGATGATCGGCTAGAAATAAAAAATAATTATTTAGCATAAAGTTTGTTTATGAATTTTTATATGCTGCTGTAAAAATATACAATGGTAAATGGTAATACAAATATAGTAAAATGATAATATATTTTAAAAAAAATACAAAGCGTTATTTTATTTAGGCAACACATTATTTTGGATCTTCATCCTGCATTCGATTATGTCTTAATAAATTTTTTTTACGCAGTTTCTGCATATTTACTCAGGAAAATAATAATTGTTAACAAAAACAGTATTGTTACTTGTATTTTTATTTATTTAATGATTTTTTTTTAACTCAATTTGAAGGGAAAAAACTTGCTGAAAGAATGGACAGCTCCTCTCCTGAGTATGAACACGTCTATAATTATCCTAATCGTAAAAAGTAATATTGATGTCCAAAACCTTTTTGTATATTTTACATAGATATAGAAAGTTGATACAAAATTCAATGCATATTCATGCTATGTAGATTCATTGATTATTTATATTTCTATAAAGAACTTTATTTTTCAATTTTGATTAAATGATTTATAGTCATAGAATTTTCTTTAAATGGCGATTAAACAGTTTTTTATAATCTTACATGGTATTTTCTTATAAATAATTTTGAAACAGTTGTTGTCAGATTTGATTCTGATAATTTTTAAGATTCATTGTTTTTCCGAGAAAAGGAATTTTTTCATTGTTAAAATCATTGTTATTGCATAAAGAGGTGAAATACTCTCATTATCGAATAATGTAATATTCTCATTTATAAGAAAAAATAAAAAATTTAGTCAGCACGAAAATTTTATGGAATTTTAATCAATAGAATACTCAAAAAAAAATTTTTTTGCATACTTTTTGTTTTACGTCAGACTTCAATGAACGATACCATTTAAAAATTCTTATAGGGATGTTTGATACAAAAGTTAACATACTCATAACATACTTTATCTGGTAGTTTCATACAGTGTTCAAAGAGGCAGTACGATAATATCTGATGAAAAAAAAAGGATAAATAACGCTTGAAGTACCAAAAGATAGAATTCCTTACGGTTTCTTTTTTTCTTAGAAAAAATGAATTCGTTTTCATCCATTATTGTTTTTATAATTAATTTATTATTTATTATAGTTCCATTATTCATTAATGATATCGGAACGGCAGCAGAACCGAAAGTTCATGAATATAAATTTCATTTATCCAAAATTGAATTAGCACCCGATGGTTTTAAAAGATTGGTTTCAGCAGTTAACGGACAATATCCCGGACCACCAATTAAAGTACATAGAGGAGATCGATTAAAAGTTCATATAGATAATTGTCTAGGAGAAGAAACTGCTATACATTTTCATGGAATTTTTCAATATAATACTCCTTTTCACGATGGTGTGGTAGCTCAAACTCAAAAAGCTATTCCCGATAAATGTACTTATACCTATGATTTTAAAATTGATCATCAAAGTGGAAGTTATTGGTAGTAAGTATTATTATTACATTAAATTATTAACTTTTGAGTTATTATTATTATTTTTTTTTTTTGAACAATTTCAATGTAAATTTTCGAATTAATATAATTTTAAATATAAAAAAAAAAATAAATAAAAAGTCATTCCCATCATAGAGGTCAATATATGGATGGAGTTCTCGGACCTCTCATAGTTTATGATGAACATGATAAAAAAATTTATGGCTATGATAATGATATGATCGTACTTGTTACGGATTGGTATCATGACCATGCTGCAAAATTATTTAAATGGTACTTGTCACCAGACAGCAAAGGAGAAGAGGTTGTTAAAATTATCATTTTATTCCTTTAATAATAATATTTTTATTTGTGAATAGATAAAGTGAATAAATACTAACTATATTTTAAATTAATTATAGCCTATTCCAAATAATGCATTAATAAATGGAAAAAACAGTTATAATTGTGACTGGGCTCCTAAAGGATCAAAATGTGAATGTAATAGTGAATTAGCAAAATTTGTATTTAAGAAGGATTGCAAATATCGATTGAGAATAATTAATACAAGGTAAAATAATAAATAATTTTAATGTTAATAATAATTTAATCATTAATTTATTAATAATAATTTTTAATAATAATATTTTAATAATATTTTTAGTGGTAGTTCTGAATTTGTATTTTCAATCGATCATCATAACTTAAAAGTAATAGAAGTTGAAGGGACTAAAACTAAACCATATTGTGTTAATCAATTACCAGTAAACGTCGCTCAAAGATATTCAGTTATCGTAGAAGCTAATCAACCTTGTTCAAATTATTGGATGCGAATTAAGTTTCAAAAATGGGAACAACATTATAAACTTGCCTTAGATAATAAAGCTATTATAAGTTATGAAGGATCAAGTCACGAATATCCCACTACTTCTTGTTGGACTGATAAAGTTGAAAAATATTTGGAATTTTATTTAAAACCTTTAGTTCCTTCCGTCCCTCCGAAGTGGGATAAAATACTTGTTTTTGAAGTTGATTTTAAGAAAGATTCTAAAGGATTCACTAGATCTTATGTGAATGGTTCTACATATATAGCTGATGAGAAATATCCAACTTTGCAAAAAGTGTATGACGGTGTTAAAGAATTTGCTAGATGTGAAAATATTTATCAACTTCATAAAAAAGGTGAAATTATTGATGTAGTATTTATAAGTAAGTATTTGTTGATACGCAGAAATTAAAAAAATAATTTAATTCTCTAATGTTATATTTTTAATTATATTTAATTTATATAATATTTAATTTATATTTTATTTATAGATAAAGATGATGGAGCACATCCATTCCATTTGGTAAGCTAAACTTGCTCTGAGTGGTAATTTATTTTATTGTAATTTAATTTAAAATAATCTAGAAATATTATAATAATTTATTTTAATTATTTTAAAAGCATGGACATTCATTTTGGATCCTTGGATGGGGTAAAGATGATGGAAAATTTGAGCATTGGTTTAAGGATTTGAATACTTGTGATCCTGTTCAAAGAGATACATCAACATTGCCTAAAAAAGGGTAATTATACATTTTATTTATTTTATATACATAATTTTAATTATAAACAAATTTCTAATTCTATTATTACTATTTATATATATATATATATATAGTTGGATCTGGTTAAGATTTTGTGTAGATAATCCTGGTATTTGGAGTGTCCATTGTCACATAGAGGTATGTAATCTATCTAAAATTGTTGATTCTTAATCAGTGAAAAAAATAATAATAAATTAATTTACGAACTTATATAGTGGCATCTTGGAGCTGGTTTATTGGTTCAATTTGTAGAATTACCTGAAAAAATTAAAGAACTTAAAGCTCCAAAATCCTGGTGGGATTTGGCTCATAAATAGTACATTTTATTTTGATCATTTTTGGGATATAAAATATTCATGTAAAATTACAATTTAATTCTTAAAATTCTTAAGATTGTATTTTATCAAACTTAATAAAACTTGTATTATTTCTTAAAATTCTTAAGATTGTATTTTATCAAACTTAATGAAACTTGTATTATTTCTTAAGATCTTTAATTTGTTAAGTACATAGAAGTGAATTTATAAATTTTTATTAATAAAAATAACTGTTATATATGTTATATACGTTTGAATCAACCTTTGAGTCTTGAATTAGACAGATTTAACAAGATTGGAAAATAATTTTATATTCCCATTTCATCTCAAACTCATTTTTATTGGATTTATTACCATTAATCATGGTACAAATTATTTTTACTAAAACATAGTTAACATGAGTAAAAGGTAAATAAGTCAAAATCTATCTGAACTTATTCTAGATTTTGATCTTTGCTTTTTGAAGACAAGAATTAGTGGCTTTATATTTGTTAATGAATCTATCTATTGGTTGTTTATATATTTTTTGTATATGTTGTATTAGACATTAATCATAATTTCAGGCAACTAATATAATCTTGGAAATTCCTAATAAATAAGCTAGAAGTTGTAAATAAATTATTTTTTTATTTGCTAAGCGTGACTTTGTTAGCATACAATGAAATAATAGATCAAAAATATATAAAACTTATTAATTATTTTATTTATTAATACAGAATATCGGATGATGAGTTAGAGTTTGAGGAATTATCCAAGAAATTAGAAAGAATTGAGTTTATCATTCAAATTTTAAAATTAAAAAAATTTTGCTACATATGGTATTATTTTTTTGAATCTGCAGAATCCACTTCCTATTTATGAAATTTAATGGGGATCATACTTTACATATTTTCAATTTTCATGTTTTATATGTATTATATAATTTAATAATGAACAATTGAAATAAAAACTTGTTTTTTATTTTATCATGTAAATTACCACGCCACGCACAAATAAAACTCAAATAATGAACAATTTTTTTTTTTATCACGTAAGTTAAATCAAAATCAAAATTAATAAAATCAATGCCAAATACTGTATTTATAAACTTATATTTTTATTAAAATATTTTAAAATAATTGTTATTCATCGTACTAGATTTTTCGCTAGAATTAATGAACTAATTGGATAAAGTCTTAATTTGCTGGTGGACACTAGGGAATTAATTATCAAATATATCATTATATTTCGAAAAAGTATTTGATTCATTATTTGTTGAAATTTCATTATGATGTGATAAATAATAAAATACAAAGAAAATCTATATATATAATTCCATGTTAATTTGGTTTGAAAGCATTTGACCAGTTTTACTTAGTTAATATAGAGTTATTTCCTACCAAAAATTTATTGTCTAATATAATAGTAAAAAACTGGCCAGCCAGCAGAAATAATAACTGAAAAATTAATTTTTGTGAAAATTTGGATAAATATTAATAAAACAATTGTGCATATTTATTGTATTTATCGAATAAATAGAATACTGTAATTGTTCGGACAAATTCTTATGTCTCTTTTAAAAAATAGTTGAGAGAAGAAAAAATTATTTTTTTTAAATTTATAATGACTTTAAATATTTGGATAATATACCTTAATACTCCAATATAATTTAACTTTCTTCCATTTAAATATATTGAAAGATAGGTATATTATGAAATTTCTTATTAAAAAATATCATTGCATAAGTGATGGTGGCCATTTATTATTTATTATCATTATTATTTCAGCATGAGAATTCTTTATTCGTAGGTTGATAGTTCTTAACTATAAAATGACAAGACAAATTAAATGTTAACCAATAATAATGCTTCACATATTTTCACATATTGTGTATAAAATATATATCAAGTATTTAAAAAATTAACAAACAAGATTCTTCATTCGAATTACAAAGATAGAAAATATTTATTTATTATAATCTATCATGATCTTTTATGAAGGTAGTTTTTTATATCATATATGCTGATTCATCATTTTTAACATAAACGTCAATTTTACTCATTCCGAAATAAAATTTACATATAATGTAGATTTGAAATTTATAAAATGAAAATCATCAATTAAAACATAACATGAATGATGTCATAGTTCAAAAGTTGTGAATCTTATTCAACAGTTTTTTAAAACTTCATAAATTTGCATTGTAATATCCTAGCCAACACATATAACTGTAACCGAGCAAATTCTGATGTATTTCAATCCAGCCCAGCTATCTTTGATATTTTCTTATATTTTCTTAGAATTAAAAACACTAATTCTGTAAAATTGATAAAAGTCAAAAATTCATGGATTTTTTAAAATAAAATTTTACATATATTAAATAATTAAAAATCATGAATATAATATGAAAGATAAACTTAAACAATTAAATAATATAGACAAATTGAAATCTCCATTTCCCTGTGTTCCCTATTAGATAAGTCTGTCAATTCTTAACCAAATCATAAAATTTTTTTTTTTTAAAAAAAACTTTAGATTAAAGCTTTATATTTAAATATTTAATAAACTTTTACAAGATTTAAATTTTATAATTTTGCTTATAATTAATTAATCTCGTAATTACATATGAAATCGTATTTCCCCTATAGATAAGTCTTTAATTTCTAAATAAATTATATGAAGTTATTGTAGTTAAGAAACTTTAAGATTATTGCATTAAATTTTTAATAAAAAAGACCTTTCATATAACTCAAAATTTTGCAGATAGTTATAAGCATTAACAATTATCAAAATTTTAAAAGAATTGAAAACAAACTATAATAGCATTTTTATTTAATAAAAGAAGCAGCTAAAAATCTCAAAATTCTTGTATGCAGACTTTGGATTATATTTTCTCTTATTCTATTAAAAAAATTAATTAAAAAATAGATAACATTTTTTATTTTAAGCTAATAGCTTAAAAAAACAAAAAAAAAAGGAAATTTCTTAAATTGCTTGTATTTTATTTGTTTCAAAGTTAAACAACCTCAAGAAAACAAATTTTTAATACAAATGATACCTACAACCCAATAAATCATGTATTCTAAATATGTATTAAGTGTTTATTTTCAAATTATTAAGTAAAAAATTTTTTTAATTAATTCTATCTTCTTTATATAGATTAGCAATTAAATATCAAAATTTAATTCAAATAATTTAAAGATTCATTCCAATCAATATTGCTAAGATTTAAATTTAAATTTTGTAAAGGAGGCAAAAGAGATAAAGGTTTGCTTATGAGAGATGCACCAGAATGAATAGTTTCAACAGATGATAACTCAAGATTTTCATTTTGCATTTCTTGATTTGCATTTAAAAACATAAGTGAATTTTCTGTTTGTTTATTTATTGCCAACTCAAACGTCCACTTATCTAATATACGATTAATAATTTCAGCACTTGGTCGTTCGGATGGATCTTTGTGCCAACACTTTTTCATCAATTCTACATAACTTTGAGGTATGCCTTCTTTAATTTTTGGTCGAAGTCCTTCAAGAATTTCTAAAGCTAATTCATGATCATATGCTCTGTCAGAAAATGGCATCTTTCCTGTTGATATTACCCACATATTAATTCCGACACTATATATATCAGAAGCTTGAGTATATGGATTTTTATTCAATATCTCAGGTGCAATATATGGTAATATTCCATATATTCCAGATGATCTAATTTTGTCTACAGGTCTACAAATTCCTAAATCTCCCAATCTTATGAATTTTATATTATCATATGCATCAGTAATCATTAGATTACCAGGATGAAGATCACAATGAATATATCCTTTATTATGAATAACACTTAATCCTAAAATAAAAGAACGTAATAACCATAATCGTTGAATCCACGATAATGTTTTATTTTGTTGAAGAAAATTTTTTAGATTTCCATGTTTCATATATCGTAAAACTAATGCATATTCCATCGTCATTGGATCTTGAGTCATACCCAAAATTGGCAGAACATATTTGGAACGACAGTGGAAATTTACAAGTAACTGTATTTACAAAAGATAAAAAGTTTTTAAAATAATCATAATAATAAAATAGTTTAAATATTAATATTTAATATTTACCTCTTCTAAAAATTTAAAGTCCTTTTCTTCGGAACTTATAAGTTTTTTCAAAGCAACTTTTTTGAAATTATAGATTTCAGTCAACTCTTCAGGCATATTTATCCATTCTGCTTTCCAAATAGTGCCACATCCTCCTTCATCTAAATATTCAATATCTTTTAATTCACTATAATCTACCCATCTCCAAATTTCCCATTCATTTGCATTTTCATCTAACTCTGTAATTTGAATAATTGCATCAACAATATTATCAACATCCTTAGAACAGTATAACCTATATTTTGTATCTAAATTTTTACAATCTTTACATACATTTTTTCTTATATTTAAATTTCCACAATTATAACATCTACCAAAATCATGAAAATTCATCTTACAGATTTCAATGCAACCATTTTTTTGCCAACAAATACAGCAGATGCGATTTTTGATATTTAAATCTTCAATACTGTTTAAATTTTTAATGGGTGATTTAGAAAGTGCTAAATTGATATTCTTTTGATTATTATTTTGATTTAATTTATTTTGATATTTCTTAATTATTGAGATTTCAGATTCTTCTCTATAAAATGATTCAAGTGCCTGTTTGCCAATATAGTTTCCTCCTTTAGCTGATTTTATAATCCACTGAACTGCCTTCTCTTTATCTTTTGTGGTTCCAATTCCATGTAAATAATAATAACCAAGAATAACTTGTCCATTACTATTCCCTCCTTCAGCTGATTTCAAGTACCATTGAAATGCATTCTTTTCATCTTTTGTTGTTCCAATCCCACTTATATAACAATATCCAAGAGAATTCTGTCCATCACTATTTCCACCTTCAGCTGATTTTAAGTACCACTGAAATGCTTTTTCACCATCTTCTGTTGTTCCAATTCCATTTTTATAACAATATCCAAGATTATACTGTCCTTTACTATTCCCTAATTCAGCTAATTTCAAATACCATTGAAATGCTTTTTCTTCATCTTTTGTTGTTCCAATTCCATTCACATAACAATATCCAAGATTTAACTGTCCATCATAATTTCCTCCTTCAGCTGATTTCAAGTAACACTGAAATGCTTTCTCTTCATCTTTTGTTGTTCCAATTCCATTTTGATGACAATATCCAAGACCAAGCTGTCCAGATGTATTCCCTCCCTCGGCTGATTTCAAGTACCACAGAAATGCTTTTTCTTCATCTTTTGTCGTTCCAATTCCATTTTCATAACAATATCCAAGACAAAGCTGTCCAGATGGATTTGATCTCTCAGCTGATTTTAAATACCATTGAAATGCTTTCTTTTCATCTTTTGTAGTTCCGCTCCCATTTCTATAACAACATCCAAGATTTGACTGTCCATTACTATTCCCTCCTTCAGCTGATTTTAAGTACCATTGAAAAGCATTCTTTGCATCTTTTGTTATTCCAATCCCATTTCTATAACAATATCCAAGAGAATTCTGTCCATCACTATTTCTACCTTCAGCAGATTTCAAATACCACTGAAATGCTTTCTCTTCATCTTTTGTTGTTCCAATTCCATTTTGATAGCAATATCCAAGATTATACTGTCCTCTGCTATTACCTCTTTCAGCTAATTTTAAATACCATTGAAATGCTTTTTCTTCATCTTTTGGTGTTCCAATTCCATTTTTATAACAGTATCCAAGTCTATGCTGCCCTCTAATATTTCCTCCTTCAGCTGATTTCAAGTACCACTGGAATGCTTTCTCTTCGTCTTTTGTTGTTCCAATTCCATTTTTATAACAATATCCAAGATTATACTGTCCTCTACTATTCCCTCCATTGGCTAATTTCAAATACCATTGAAATGCTTTTTCTTCATCTTTTGTTGTTCCAATTCCATTTATATAACAATGTCCAAGAATCGACTGCCCATCATAATTTCCACCTTCAGCTGATTTTAAGTACCACTGAAATGCTTTCTCTTCATCTTTTGTTGTTCCAATTCCATTTTGATAACAATATCCAAGATTATACTGTCCTTTAATATTCCCTCCTTTGGCTAATTTCAAATACCATTGAAATGCTTTTTCTTCATCTTTTGTTGTTCCAATTCCATTTGCATAACAATATCCAAGATTTGACTGTCCATCACTATTTCCACCTTCAGCTGATTTCAAATACCACTGAAATGCTTTCTCTTCATCTTTTATTGTTCCAATTCCATTTTGATAGCAATATCCAAGATTAAGCTGTCCATTAATATTCCCTCCTTCAGCTAATTTCAAGTACCATTGAAACGCTTTTTCTTCATCTTTTGTTGTTCCAATTCCATTTTCATAACAATTTCCAAGATTAAGCTGACCATCATCATTTCCTCCTTCAGCTGATTTCAAGTACCACTGAAATGCTTTCTCTTCATCTTTTGTTGTTCCGATTCCATTTGAATAGCAATATCCAAGATTTGACTGTCCTCTACTATTCCCTCCTTCAGCTAGTTTCAAATACCATTGAAATGCTTTTTCTTCATCTTTTGTTGTTCCAATTCCATTCACATAACAATATCCAAGATTTAACTGTCCATCATAATTTCCACCTTCAGCTGATTTCAAGTACCACTGAAACGCTTTCTCTTCATCTTTTGATGTTCCAATCCCATTCTGATAACAATATCCAAGACTATATTGTTCATTACATTCTCCCCTTTCAGCTAATTTTAAGTACCACTCGAATGATTTTTCTTCATTTTTTGTGGTTCCAATTTCATTTTCAAAATTATATCCGAGAATAAAATCTCCTCTTTCGGTTGATTTCAACATATTTAATGTAAATAAATTTATTAAATATTTTTATATGAATTCGAGTAGATTTTAAGTGTGAAGAATACTAAGTAAACAGAGGGCTAGTCGTTTATAAATATTATTATTCATGTCGATCATCAATCACTGATTTCTAAAATCGTTTCTTCTTAGAATGTTCTATTTGCTGATTTCTAAAATTGGTTCGTCTTGGAATATTCATAATTTCATTTTAGTTTTATTATTTTCTATAATTAGGATGTCGGAATACTGTTAAAAAATTTGTATAACCGATCCGCAACAATTATGCTTCCGATCTTCCCGTAACTCCCGAATCGTTTAACTATAAATAGGAAATCTTTCTTTTGGAAATCCATAATAGATTTCACTTTGTTATAATAAATTTTTGAATCGTAAATGGTGTGATGATGGTACAATTATATAAATATATAATTGATCAAATAATAAAAAGGATAATAAATAGCTCATTTGTAAAATTATGTTATCGTCTACAATTTATAATTCTTTAATCAATTGGAATATCGGTATTCAGATCAGAATAATTTAAATAAATTCAAAAATAGTATGTCACGACTTCTCAAACTCATGACCACAAATTTTTCAACAATGACAGAAAGCGATGACGGTAACCAAATCAATATATTGGACGAATCTAATATTATTAGGTTTAGTAGTTAGACGTAGTGCATTTGATAAATTTCAAGGTGGAAGGTAATTTTATGCATACATATGATATTATAATTTATATAATGAGAATGCGTTCTATATTGTGATATTTGTGAATTATTTTAATCATTCTTTTTATTTTTGTTTTTTTTTTTTTAAAAAAAAAAAAAAGGATTCGAAAGTATTAAGCGTTAAATGATGTTAGGATGTAGTCAAGGTACATCAAAGTATTATTATTTGTGTAAATATGTAGTGAAACTGATTATAAAGGTATTAGATATAATAAACAAAATATATATAATAATCTTATTATTATTATTCAATTTTTTATCAATTACTTAAAAATCAATCAAACAAATCAAGTAGATATACATAAAAATCCAAGTTAATCGATTTTTAAAAGAAACTAGTGAAAGAGGAATGTGTGAAGAATGATGAAAATGTTTGGCTGATGAATTTGTACGAAGATTACAAGATTACGTGATGTTTACTAAACAAAATGTAGTTATTAACTAGTCTTATTATTAATATTGTGTTATTGTTACTGTTATTATTTATTAATAAATGGATCGCGTGTTCATATGTGTTTATATTTAATTCATTATTATTATTATTATTAGAATCAACAAGAAAGTCAAATATGCGAATATTATAAATCCACAAGTTGATTATTACAAAATGAATCATCACAAAATAAATCAACTCGAGAAAATAAAGAAAATAATATAAACAAAAAATTTGTTAACAGAAAATGACGGTGAGAACAAAAACTTGTGATGTCGAGAAATCAAAAGTTGGAAATGTTTGAATGATATGAAAGATTGGGGTCAAAAAAAAATAAAGGGTACATGGTACGTTTTATTATTAATTATATATTCAATATTTTTTTATATTAAATTATATTTATTAAAAGTTAATTAATATTTGAATAATAGAAGAGAAAGCAGAAGATGTAATAAATGATCGAGCGAATAAATATCTTATACAATTTACAGTAATTATAAGGATTAAATGGGAAAGAAAATCCATCAGGTTTTATTTATTTATTATTTGCTTTATATTTATTAATTATTTATTTAATTTACATTGTTATTTCTCTTAGGCACATATTAATCCTTATGTAAATGTGCGAAAAGATTTAATGTCATTACTGAAATTATGGAGATTTGCTTTGAAAATTATTAATAACATCAATAATAGTGATAATTATAATGAGAATAATAATATTAATCAGCAATAACAATAGGAAGATGAGGTGAAGAAAGAAAACAAACTGAAGATGAATAAGATTAAAGACATCTGAACTGAAAATAAGTTTCAAAATTTAGAAAAATATTTTAATATTCAAAAGGAATTCAAGATTATCATCACTTAAAAATTCATTGAAATCTCGATTGAATGAAATATTTGACTATTTAAAATAGATTAAGGTAATATTTTAATTTTTTATTTTTATTTTATTTTATTTATTTTATTTATTATTTATTATTATGTTATTTACTATCATGTTATTTATTATTATTCAAATAGAAAAATTCAGGAAACGCGTATTATGCTTAAAATATCAATTCGATAAACATTCAACTTCTTTACCAAATGATGATAATAATAACAAAAAAATAACAGTATAGATGAATATTAATGAATTTAAAGCGGGACATGGTAAATATTATATTATTATTCCAATGATTTTAATTACACATCATTACCTATATCTGTTCATCACATTCATCTGCTGCTACTAATAGCGCTATTAATGATAATGATATTAGTAATTTTATAATATTAGATTTATTTATTTATATCATCATTTATTTTTAATGTAGATGGAGATAAGGATAATAATGACACTAATAAAAATAATAATTCAAAGAACAATAAAATCAATTTCGAAACAACGACCAGCCTCCATCTCCACCATCAAAAATATCAACAGTACAATCATCAAAAATACCGAAAACATCTCCATTAGATATATCAATCAAATAACTGGTAATAATAAAGATTGATGAAGTTTCATCATCATCAATTACAACGACAATAATCACCACCAAAATTGTCAACACCTCTGATAAAATTAACACTAAAACCTTTCAATAATACAAATATTAACACAAATATTAACACCAACAATACCAAAACAAAAACATCTCATCCGATAATAAATAATCATCATCATCGTCAATATTATTGTTATTATCGTCAAATTCATAATATCCAAAATCCCCCAATGCTTTAAAAGAACAAGCATTTAGACCAACAAACGAAATAGTAAAATACAAGAATCAACAATGACTCCATCACCATCATCAATACTAATCAGTAGTAATAACATTATAATAATTTTTTCAATACGCCGCCTTCATCACGTAATCCACGTAATAATTCAACTTTAAAAAAATAAAGAAATTTATGATGATGTGACGAAAATAAAGAAATTGAAGAAAATAATTATATATCATCACAAATGTCGGTAGATCTAATTTCATTATCAGAAGATGATTATGATTTAAAAATAATTATAATTTTTTGTCATTATTAAAATTACTATTATTATTATAATTATAATCATAGTCATTATCATTATTGTAATCATTATTATAATCATTATTATTATTGTAATTCTAATCACTAAGTTATTTCCTTCAATCACAGTTAAGATAATAGTGTTTTCATCTTCCCCTTCACCCTCTTCCATTAAATCTTTTAAATCCTCCTCAATTTTGGAAATTTTGTCATAAAAAGATAAGATTGAGTTTGAGAACATGGAAAAGGTGTAAAAATTTTATCAAATAGATGAAAGGGATATTCAATTGAATCAAAAATTAAGGTGATAAAATTATTAAATTTTTTATAATTTTTGTAATTAATTTGTAAGTTTAATATAAGAATGATAAATAAATAAATTAATAAATAAATAAATGAAAAAATAAAAATAAACTGATGACAGGAAATTCAAGATCTAAAGTTCACTATATTCTTTAAAATAACAAGTTTCTAATTTATCAAGATTCAAGATGATTTCAAATTTTCTAATTAAACTTTGAAGTTAAATCATGATTCAATATTTCATCTATCGCTTCTGATAATTTGTTATAATAACGAATATTCTTTACGGATTTCGATGAAGACTACTATAATGAATGATGATGACGATGATGATGATGACGATGAGTGATGTTCCTTTTATTTTGTCATCATCCAGCCTTTCCTTTAGATTTGATGTAATTATTACGATTGAATTGATGGATCGTTTGATTGGATTTTGCTAGGCTTATAAGTATCTTGTTTCTAACGATCTTTTTATTTTTTTATTTTTTTTATTAATTTACTTTAGATTAATTTTTATAAAACAAATAACAAAAATACAAAATATAAAATAAAAATAATATAATAAATATATATATAAACATAATGACAACAAAGATTATTCATTTATTATATCGATCTTTTTTTGATAAAATTTTATTTAAACTCGACATTCTATATATAAAAGTTCTTTTAGAAGAATTAAAAGAATTTATTTTAAGTAAATTTAAAATAAAGCAAAATAAATCTTTATTTAAACTAAAGGAAGATATTATAATTTAGATTGAAGTTGAAATTGATTTATTATATTATGAAAAGGAAAAATTAAAGCTTTCAGATGACAAATGATTGATACCTATTTAAATCATTGTATTAATAATAAAATTAAATAAATAAATAAATTAAATAAATAAAATAAAGTAAAATAAAATAATTAAACTAAACCAATAATTCACAAAAAAAAAGAAAAAGTTGTTATTTTTGAGCAATAATCTCAATCTTGATTGTTACTTAACTAAATTAGATTAGAGAAAAAATCCCCGAGAACCACAAGTTTTATATATTTTTTTGAATGCAACTGCCCACTCTACATATTTATAATAAAAATAATCAGAAAACTTTTTATAGATTAGAAACAGAGCCACCTTGAAAGTATATTTTAATTTAATTAATTAGAAAAAAATTTTACAATTGATTTCTATTTAAAAAAAAATTTTAATAATAAAACCAACTTTACAAAATACTTTGATAGTATGTAAAAAAACATGATTCAAAATATAGTCTTGAAAAAATAGTAGTGAAGATCTTCAAGAAAAATGCAAAACCAATATACAGATAAATTTGATTTTGCAATGATCAATCAAAATTTTTTATTTTAGAAATATCTTACAAAATAATGATGAAAAAACAGATGACCCCAATCTTTTGCTCATACCAATGGTGATGCCATTTAATTATTCTATTTCTTTTGATCCCATGCCAGATTATAAAAAAAAATTCTTTGAAATTAAATAAAAAATGTTCTGTAAATCCAAAATTGAGATTTCTGGGAATAAACCATTTCTTGAACACAGAAAAAATAGTGATAATAACACAACAATATCATCTCCTCAATCCTGAAGCCATCCTCGAACTAATAGCAACAGAATTTCTCTCTAAACTTTAAAAAATTTTGAGCAAGTATTTCATATGCTAATCAACTTCATCTACTAGAAGTTGGATTTGCATTTAATTTTTATGGGGAGAATTCTGTTGAAATGAGTTAACATTCTTGCTCATAAATATTGATATAAAATTTTCATACCAATCATAAAAAATTAAGCATATAGCAATAAAGAGAGAGATTTCAAAATTGCAAATAACTTGGATCAATAATAAATGAAAAATTATCCACAATAATAGTATCAAAATTTTAAAATGTGACAATAAATTTAAAGATATAATTTGTTGTAATTTATAGTTTATCTTGAGATACCCAACAATCATGAACAGATTTATTCTAAAACTGTTCAATAAAAAGTATTTATATCCAACTTCATTAATTGAAAAGATTAAGTTTACTAATAAGATATAGAAGAAGAAAAAATAAAAAAATGAAATTTTCTCTGTTCAATGAATTTTTGTCCTCAAAAATCCTTAGACTTCACAGAATGCAACAGAAGATATTTAGGATACTTTAAAACCAATCAAAAATAAAGTCTATTAACTATCAGTTGTTTGATGACTGAATAATAGTGCTTCAAGATGAATATTACAAATTCCAATTATAAGTTATTAAGTTCTGAAAAGCAGCATTAGGAAAATTGATAAAGCAGCATCACATAATTTCCAATTACAATTTATTTTTTATCCTTATAATCTTTTGTGTATATAATATTTTCATATCTCAAAAACATTTTATTCATCAGAAGCATTACTCAAAGGTCAGCTGAGGAAATAACATAAAAAATTAATTAATTAGATTTTGATTAATATAAATGAATTATGCAAATAAGTATACATTAAATTAGATTAAATAATTATATGATAATTATACAATAAACCAGTTATTGTTACAATGTACTTATCAAAAACAATAATTTATATATTTGAAAAATATAAATTATAAAAGCCATAATTCAAATTACTGACTGATAAATAATGAGAACATGAAAATTTTCAACAAAAATTTTTTAAGGGCTTTAATAATATTTTTAATAAAGACAAAGTATTTTTTCCATTAAAATTTATAAATCAATAATAAATAGAAAATCTGCAGAATTCTCATTAATAAACTACAAAATATAGAAACAACACCATTATCATCATTGTCATCAACAACAAATTCAGATAACAATTTTGACATTCATGATTCAAATCATTAAAAAATCCAGAAAAATTTATGAATCAATAATAAATAGAAAATCTTTAGAATTCTCATTAATCAACTACAAAATATAGAAACAACACTATAATCATCATCACCAACAACAAATTCAGATAATAATTTTGAAATTCATGATTCAAATCATTAAAAAATTCCAGAAAATTTATAAATCAGTGATAAATAGAAAATCTGTAGTATTCTCATTAATAAACTACAAAATAAAGAAACAACGCCACAATCATCATCATCAACAAATTCAGATAACAATTTTGAAATTCTTGATTCAAATCATTAAAAAAATTTCATTAAAATTTATAAATCAATAATAAATAGAAAATCTGTAGAATTCTCATTAATAAATTGCAAATATAGAAACAGCACCATTATCATCATTGTCATCAACACAAATTCAGATAACAATTTTGACATTCATGATTCAAATCATTAAAAAAATCCAGAAAAATTTATGAATCAATAATAAATAGAAATCTGTATAATTCTCATTAAGAAATTATAAAATATGGAAACAATACCATAATAATCATCACCATCAACAACAATTCAGATATCGATTTTGATATTTCATGATTCAAATCATTAAAAAATTTCAGAAAATTTTATAAATCAATAATATACAAAAAATCTGTAGAATTCTCATTAATAACTACAAAACATATAAACACCATAATCATCATCACCATCAATAACAAATTCAGATAACAATTTTGAAATTCATGATTCAAATCATTAAAAAATTCCAGAACCATTTTTTAGTCTAAATAGTTAAGAGAAAGTGATAACCAAAATACCAAAATTAATATAACCATTGATACATCAAAATTAGAGTCAAAGACTCAATTCTCTTTACCACCTATCCTAAATTATTTGAGAATAGGAGTAGGGTAAAAAATATATAAGAAAAATTTTAATAATGAGATAAAACAGAGAAGTAGCTTCAAGACTGCTAAATTAATTATTTTGTATTTCAATATTTTTAAAGTGATAATTCTGAAGAAAAAACTTTCAAGAGAAATTGCTGATATGTCTGGATACAGTGAAAACATTCAATATTAATTGATTACTCAGAAAGTGCACTCATAAGAAAAATTGATAATAAATTTTTTTTAATATATACAAGGTATCTACCTTATTACTCACATACAGATTCATGTCTAATAAAATAAAAGTTGAAATATTTAAATTAGATAACTATTGAAATTAATCTGTTATCCAGAATCACCAATTATTTAGCTAAAAAAAATTAAACACCAGGACTTAAAGTACAATGGGCAACCTTTATTGTTTTTTCTCCATATAGATATTTTAATATAGTAATAATAAACAAATAATAAATTGTTTACGTACTTAAGCACGTATGCAACATGTAAACATGAAATTAGTTGATTTAAATTAAAAACAATTAAAAAAAATATGAGATTACATAGGATTTATTTTATAGTTTATTGTTATAAATATTATTTAATAAATATTACAATTAAAATTTTTTTTAAACATTCCATTTTTGTATTGCAGATGCAATTATTGTTATATTTTTTTTCTCAAGGAGAATTTCTTTTTCAATGTTCAAAAGAAACACATAAATATTTTAACATATTATAATAAATTTTTATTTACTATTTTAAAGAAAATCAATTATTATAATTATTAAAAGTTAATCAAAGGTTCAAATTTTGATTGTTTATTGCTAAAGTTAACTTTCACAGTCCAAATAAGCATTCAAATTGTTGAAATTCCCATGATTTGATTTTTATTCACTATTATTTATATTACAGTTGTATTTATTTTAAAATAAATATATCATAATGTAGTATAAATAATAACTATAGATTATTGTTTAAATAATAATATAATAATATTTAGTTTATTAATTAGCAAGTGGCAGGTGATTGTAGTTATAGTAGTTATAGTCAATATTTATTGGTTCTGGTATCACTAAGATAAATTATCCAATGATTATTAATTACAATATATAGTATTAATAGATTACATCAACATCACAAGATTATCTTAAAAAAAATTTTTTCTTTCAAGAATTTTTATTGGTGCACTTTTTAAATTTGTTACTTGAAAAT